GGAAAGAGAGAAAGAAAAGGAGGGAAAGAAAAGGAAAGGGGAAGGAAAGGAGGGAAAGAAAGAGGGAAAAGAGATGGGGGGAGGCTCTCCCACCCCCACCCCCCCAATCAAGCCTCCGCCACCCCCCACAGATCCCTCACTTACCCCGTGAGGCGGCAGGGGGGCTCTTGGCCTCCCATGGGACGCAGCACTCCGGCACTGGCACTGGAAGGCAGCGGGGGGCGTCTTCTGGCCTCCCAGGGCTGCAGCACTCCGGCGCTGGCCCGGGGAGGCGGCGGGGGGGCCTCTTCTGCCCTCCCACGGACCACAGTGCTCCGGTGCTGGCCCGGGGAGGCGGCAGGGGGCCGCAGCGTGGGGAGCTGGGGGCGAGGCTTGTTGCCACCGCCTCTGGTGCTCCGGTGCGCTCCGGCCCCAAAAGACCCCTGTTCTTAATGGTTCGCATTAGCAGAACTGATTACTCCGAATTCCTACAATGGGGGACTAAATATTTCACTTTCACTTGCCCAGTCTGCAGTAAACTATAAAACCTGGATATCTATATACAGATCTGGATCCCCTACTGCTTTGATAGGGGCCACACATCACATTTAGTAAGAGAATTCACCTATTTTTCCTGTCCTGATAAGCAAGAAAATGAAATTACCTCAGAGTTTTGTTTTCTGACTGCACTCTCATTTATAGTCTTTAGTAGTTTAAACATTTCACATTCAGATTCCATTTCAGATTTTAAGGGGTAATGTAACCAAGCTATGGAACACATTCAATGGCTGCCTGTATAGTACTTTATGTATACATATGAGCAGTAACATCCTGTCCTCAGATGTGGGCACCTGTGGAGAAAGGATATGGTCATGCCAGCAGCACTTTTTATAATTGCACTGGCACTTTTTCCAGTTACTACGAATCATAAGAAATGTTGCTAGCCACACCCATAATTAAACAGCTCACAAAATGTGTTTCTCCATTCAAGTTCCTGCATGTACACTACTCATATGCAACAAAGAAACAGAGAGAGATGGAATGAAAGTGCTGTGAATTTACTATGTTCTTTCACCACCCCAAATCAGGAACCGTATAGAAACTCTACCTCGCTTGTTCTGAATACTACACGGTAGTTGAATTGTGAACCGTCTTTCTCCTTTGCATCTTCAAACTTCTCCCTTCGGATGCTGACTGCTACTGGTCCTAAATTTTCATCTGTTCCAAAGTAGTTTTGATGCTCTGTAGTATATGAAGAAGACAATACAACAATGAAGCATTAGACTAGTAGATTCCCATTCATTCATCAGATAACATTTTAGTGGTGGTGATCAGAATCCTCACTCACGTAATAGCCAAGCAGTTGCCTGGAGGAAGCCCACAAGCAAGGCATTTGTCATTTTCTATTTGCCATTTTCTTTTACCATGCCTGATAAGCTGCAAGATAACTCACCTAAGAACACAAATGAGTCAAGTCCAGACATTTGTTCAACATAGATTTGTGTTTCTTAGATGGAAATATTGTGTTACAAAAATGCAAAAGACTAAAAATCACACATCTTCTGACAAGGATTACACACTGAAATAATACTGTAACTTAACATTTAAGTTGTGGATCACTCTAGAGTACATCACTGGCACACTGGGGTTGCAGGGCAAATGTCATTGGAAGGAGCAAAAACAAATTCTAATTAAAGATCAAGTAACATTTAATCATAGCAGCTCAATGGCACACATTTTCTTAAAACAGGTTCTGCTGCTCAAGTTTCAAGCCCTAGCTGGCACCCCCGGTGGGAGAATTTTGGGGGACAGAGACAAGCTCTTCAGCAACACACCAACTCACGTCACTTCCAGCATCACTCTGAAAGTGACATCATCACATGGGGCACCGTGCTAGGATTCAGCCAAAACTCTATGGTTCAATCATAGCACATCATGCTGACACAATGACATCACTTCTGGTTTCACATCAGAAATTATGTGGCATGTCAACACAACCACAAATCACATCCCCCCCTTTTTCCCTGCTGGTCTGCGGAGAAGTAGCGGGGGGGGCATCGCTGCCCTTCTATATGGCAATATACTAGTGATTGTCAAAATATGGTCTAGGGACCCTGTGGGTCTGAGAAGGTACTACAAGGGGTCAGTGAGTTTTTTCTAAGAACAAAGGGCAAACTCTTCTCATGTGAGCTGTGTACCATCAACATTGACCTCCCTTATTTCTAGGAATGGCAACAAGGACTCTCAGTCTCATGGGAAGGGGGCAAAATTAGTTTCCCAACCTTTTAAAGGGCTGGAGCTCATAGAGCTGCTGCTATCCACAGTCATTTAGCTTCCACATCACCTGACAGCACTAGGCAGAAAACACACTATAGGTTGCTAGGAATAAATAATTCAGCCTTAAAAACCTGTTCTAATTCAGTCGCCAAGGCATGCATTCTGGAACACCAGTGTGGCAGAGTTAAACCTGCACTTAGTCTGATGAAGCAAGTTTTGCTCCTCTGTCAACTGTGTTCAAATTGCGACTTAATCAATTTGTCCCACAGATAGCAAAAGGAATCTATGAAACCCAAGCCATCTCATATCTGCATGCCTTGCTAGAGGTGTGTACTTGAAAAAATTATGGTTTCAATTCTGTATCATAATTTAACTTAAGAAAGGGAAGGTGGGTCAGTTTTTTAAAATCTCAGAAATGCCATTGTCTTATTGTGAAGGCTGATCAAATTCCATTTTAGTTTTCATTAAGTGCATACAGATATTTTCCCAAAAAATCTGATACACACTGGATGTTTGTCTACCCCTTGCCAAATTCCCTTGGCAAACCTGATCTGTGGTGGAAGCTGGGGAAGATGGCTCGCCCTCCCCTGAGAACTGGTCTGGCCAACCACTCCTCCCACCCTTTTTCTGATTTAAAAATAGAAAGAATTAGTTTTTTAAAACCTCTCCAGGTAGTCCCACCACTTTACCTTGAATGAATGGACTTTCATAGTCCAGCTGGCTTTTTATTTTACTAAAGACCTTGAACTTGCATCTAATCCAAATAGCTAAAGAAGCCAGGGTAATTGCCATTATGACTTGTAACAACAGTATTGTACTCGGTCCTAATGCAGATACAGCCACTTCCTATGTAAATTACAGCTTGAGTTTCCCTCATTTCTGCATAGATGTTGTTAAGTCGCTCGCTTAACAAAGTAGTCGGAGAGTGATTCAGCAAAAGATCAGCTTTATTCAGCAACTCGAACACAACTCCAACACGGATCAACATCTGATAGCCAGAACAGCTTTTACATTGCAGCTGTCCTGCTTTTAAACTCTCCAGGCTAATGTAGCCACGCCTACTGTACAATTAACAACCAATAAGGTTGTATGCATAAGGACCAATTACGGACGTTCCCGCTCAGGGAGCTTGCTGACAAGTGATTGGTTAGGTGCTTCCTGGGCTAGCAATGCGATTGGATGTATTTGGATCCTAGCCCAGGACGAAGCTTTACATAGCATTTCAATTATATATTTTCATAACACATTATGCATTCAATGACAGCTTATTGAATACATTACAGATGTCACATCAAGCACACAGGAACACAAACGTCACACATGCAGAGTTCCCACTGGGAAGGAACCTTTTGAGCAACTCACCAAGCAGCCCTGATCTGAACCCCCAAACATGTCAACTGCAGTACATATACAGGAAGTACTTACCAACAATGTATTGGTTCCAAACAACAACAAAATCAAACTGTTTGGCAACTGAACCTGCCAAAGTGACCATCAAGCAAACTAGAGAACTTCAAAGAGAAGGAACACACTGTACAGCAGCAAGAGAGTCATAGCATAGCCACATGATGACTACAAACACTGTACAGACACCTTCTTCCCCACCTTGACTCTAAGAAGGAAGGAGGCTGGCAGAACAAAGCACCCCTTAGTTCACTCACTCTCAAAGTACATTGTTGGGAAGTTGAAGAGTGGCATACTGACCTTCAGGAAGGCCAGCTGCTCAATCCTCCAGGGGAGCAAACATGAAGAGTGCAAGCTGACAATGTCACCCAACTAGAGAAAACCCACTCACTCTTGCACGCTGGTGGGAGGGCAGCAGAGGAATGACTGAGCCCCACATTCTCTTTCCTGGATGCATACCTCAGTAGATCGGTCTCCAATGGCTTGCATGGTTCGGCAAGGTAGTCCCTCAACATTGTCTCCCCCAACCTTCCCTCATGTATCTCATGTTTCCACTGCTGCCAACTGTCTCCCTGATGGCCATGAACCACAAGGCCTGCCCTGCAGTGTTAAAGGGAGGAGAAGGGTTCCGTACCACTTCTGCTCTTTCTGCCATGCCCCCTCTGGCCTGCAAGTCCTTAACATACTGGGAGAGGATGTCTCTCCAGACCATGAGAGCACTGTTTTGAAGGGCAATGTTACTACTGATGTGCAGGTCATGCACGGTCACCATCTTGTACAACCGCTTCTGGGTGAGAGGCTGCAGTCAGCACTTGATGCGCCTTTGCAAACTTGCACCAAGGTGGCCACCTCTGGGACAACGTGTGCATCACCTGTCCCTGGGTCAGCAACTGATTCCATCTTCCTCTGCAGCACCATTCACCAAGGGAATGACTTAGCCCAGGGTTGATGTGACACAACTTTGGGGAAGTCCTTAAAGTACTTAGGGACAAACACCATTTGGGTAAGAGTCAGCCACTGATGTTTATTCAGCACCACCAACCACCACCCAATGTTGGCCTCCAAGGCCACCTTTTGCAAGGCACTCTTCTGTTCTAACAGATGCTCACGCATGGCATATGTGGAATTCCAGCACGTGGTAACATTAGTGATAAGGCAGTGCTGTGCTATTCCAACAAGCTCCTGCTTCTCCCTCATTAAAAGACTGTTCTTCACAGTGTGTGAGAAGTGAACCATGATTTTTTATTTATTTATTTATATTTACATTTATATCCCACCCTCCCCATCATTCGGCAGGCTCAGGGCAGCTAACAACGTATATAAATATACATTAAAATTCCATTAAAACTGTCAATGAATATAAAATCATACCACATAAACATAATTTATATTAAAAGATGGCGAATCTTCCGATTCTCAGCTGTCAACGGAACGGTGTCCACAAACTCACATCCAGCTATAAGCCTCGGTTGGTGGTGCTGTTGGTACTGTCGGAACCAATGATGGTACAATTGTTGGCACAGTTGGTAATAGGGCCAGGGCCATATAATCAAGGTGGCACCCTACTTAAAAGCCTGGTGGAAGAGCTCCGTTTTACAGGCCCTGCAGAACTGTAAAAGGTCCCACAGGGCCCTGATGTCCTCTGGGAGCTCATTCCACCAGTGAGGGGCTGCCACAGAAAAGGCCCTGGCCCTCGTTGTGACCAACCTGGCCTCCTTTGGGCCCGGAAGGACCAGGCGATTTTGGGATCCAGATCTTAATGCTCTCTAGAGCACATATGGGAAAAGGTGGTCCCTTAGGTAAATAGGTCCCTGACCATATAGGGCTTTAAAGGTAGAACCAGCACCTTGAACCGTGTCCGGTATGCTATAGGCAGCCAGTGCAGAGCTTTTAGGGTGGGCTGGATGTGTTCCCACATAGGAAGACACAACCACAGCCTCGCCGCTGCATTCTGCACCAGCTGCAGCTTCCGGATTTGGGACAAGGGCAGCCCCATGTAGAGAGCATTACAGTAATCCAATCTTGAGGTGACCAATGCATGGATCACGATTGCTAGGTCATTGTGTTCAAGGAAAGGAACCAACTTCTTGATCAGCCATAGGTGATAAAAGGCCAACTTTGCAGTGGCTGCTACCTGGGCCTCCATCGTTAGGAAGGCATCCAGGAGCACTCCCAAACTCCTAACCTCCGGCGCTGGCACCAATGGCACCCCATCAAAGGTCGGGAGAGGGATCCCTAACCTTGGACTGCTCCAACTCAGGCACAGGACCTCTGTCTTCGTCAGATTCAATTTCAGTCGGCTCTGTCTAAGCCATCCAGCCATGGCTTTCAACGCCAGGTCCAGATCTCCCGGACTAGAGTCTGACTGGCCGTCCAACAACAGATAGGTATCGTCAGCATATTAATGACAACCCAGCCCATGTCCCTGGGCAATCTGGGTGAGGGGGCGCATATAGATGTTGAACAGCACTGGGGAGAGCACTGCATGTTGGGGCACTCCGCACACTAGTGGGTGCCTTCTGGACAGTTGCTCCCCAACTGCCACCCTCTGTCCCCGATCC